ATTTCTCACATGCCCCGGCCAGCGGGTTCTTCAACTTGAGCCTGAAGGAGGGGCAGTGGGGCTGAGAAAGGGATAAGGGGCGCAAAGAACTGAGAGAAGACAAACATTCCAATCAAGTCTCGTTTATTCTGGCTTTTACACGGAGTTTTATAAGGGAACTGTGCAGTTGTCTTGTGGTAGGCGGGGTTGCTATGGAAACCCAGCCTTAGGATATCAATCTGCCATGGGAAGGAGGAACGTCCTAAAGCGCTGAGGGACAGGAACTGAACCAATGAAGCAAGCGCCTTTCCAGGAAGGGGTGGGTGGCCTAGACAGCACTCATCCCGCTGCAAAACAGGCACAAGTGTAATAAAAGTTGGGGTTGCTCATGCAAGAGCCAAGACCCGTTGGGGATGGCCTCCCACAGGGTCCCCCTTCTCCAATATATAAAAGGTCATTAATGGCTCGCATCTGTCATAGGCTTCATGCCTAGCATTCTTCTTTTACACAGGTTCCTTACCCGTCACTGGAAAGCAGGGCAGCTTTGGCCCTTTTCCTGTCTGAGGTTGGTAACCAGGTGAGTGAAAAGAATGAGGCATGCTAATCCCGTCCCTGGCAATGAGCCCCTAAGAGGGTGATTGGTCTTTGACTGAGTTCCCCTTAACATTTTGGCCATTATTGACAGATTGAGCTTAACTGGAGAATAAGGACCGAGTTTTTAGGAGGCCTATCCATAGTTACATGTGCCGTGCCTTGCTATACTGCCTGGGGGCAAGATTATCACATTCCTCTATAAGGCCTTGATCAATTAGATCCAGCCGATGGTAATGGACCTGCAAAGGTTTGGCCTGAATGGCGTCTATCCATTGTATCACAAAGCTAGCTAATTTCCTGAGTGTCCATGGCCCAAAAGATAATAACAATAGAAACCCTACTAAAGGTCCTAGCGAGAAAGGAAGTAGAGTAGTTACCCAAGGGGAAGGGGAAAACCAATTCTGAAACCAATGTTGGTCACTTTCCCTTTGCCTTTTTCTATGTTCCAGACCTTCCTGGACCTTAGCTATGGAATCTTTGACCACACCAGAGTGGTCCATATAGAAACAACACACTTCTTTTAGTGCTGCACAGAGACCTCCTTGTTGGAGGAGCAGCAGGTCTAGACCTCTGCGATTCTGAAGGACCCCCTCTGTGAGCAAGGTGAGGGATTTCTCGAGGTGAGATATAGCGGTCTCCAGTCGTTCGAGATCCTGATCGATGGATAGGTGAAGATCTGAGTAATGCATATTGGAGAGAACAAGAGAAGTTATTCCCAACCCTGTCCCGTTTGCCCCCAATCCTAGCAGGATGGCAAGAGTTACTGCCGATATAGGTTCTCTGCGTGACCTTAGCAATCTTTGGTCATCAGCGGGGTCCCAGGCCTGGGTAAACTATTCTTCTGAGTAATATATCAGCCTAGTGATTAACTGTACCAGAATACAAAAAGATGTTTGATTACCTTTAAGAAATTGAAACATAGATGCAAGGTGTAAGGCCATCACTACAGGCCCACCATGATTTTGTGGGTGGAATAATATAAGAGTCTGTCTGCATTCCAGTAATATTGGAAACAGTCTTATTGCATAAATACTGGTGAGTAGAAGGGATGGTTCCTAAAAACAACCCTTGTACCGAGACTGATTGTAACGTGAGTTTGGTAGATCCTAGCTGATTCCATCTGCATTCTGCGTGATTGGTGGAAATAGTATACTCTTCTAGGGTAGCTATTCCTTCATAAAAAGGAGGGTTTGCATTATAACACAACCAGCAGGAGTTGGTAAGATCAGGTCTGGAATGATTTAAAGTCAGGAAGGTATGTTGTATAAGGTCAGTCAAGGTATCTCTAGTAGATTTATAAGCAGCAGGCATAGAAGTGCTTAGTGCTGAAAAAGATAATTTGGCAGGGTTACTTGGGCGATCAGAGACAGGGACAACTGGGAGAATGTTAATAACTGAATTAGGCCCAACTCCTAATGTACTATCAGAAGCTGTTTTTAGGTACAGTGAGAACAACTGTCCATGATCGAATCCATCGCGGTATAATCTAATTCCCCAAACTTTAGGGGAGGTCCAATCAGCCTTGTGTCCATGCTCTGTAAAGGAGATCTTAAATGTGTCCCAAAACCTTTGGGTGGGGTATTTGGGAGAAAGCCTACTTTGATTAGGGTATTAGAAGTAGAAAGGGTCCACCAAACCTGGCCTGTCTCTTTGCAAACCCATTTTGCACAGTAAAAATTGGAGGGTCCTCTGCAGCCTCGCTGACGGGCCTTGGCTGCAGGGCACACGTAAAACCTTCCATAAAGAGCGCCTGCCCAATCGCCACAAGTAAAGAGTTTATCTGTCAGCAGCTGTAATTCAGGAAACCAGGACCCTAAAGGTTGGGTGGATGAATTAGAGAAGATTATGTCTCCTAACTCATTCTGGATTATTCAAGTGAATTTGAGAGGCTGGTGAGGGTTGTTACTACTCACGGTCAACATAGTCAGCAGGGCCACGATTGCTTGTAGGCACATCCTCATTTTTCTTTTTTGTAAAAGAATCACAGGAGGGCTTCTCAGGGTCTGTTTTCCCTGGATGTGAGGTTAGAATCAACCTGTTTTACAAGTATCTCCGGTATCCATCTTGCAGATCCTGCTCTTGTGTCAAACACACATACTGACCCTTGGCTGCTTATAAGTACTGGGTCAGGGCCAGACCATTGAGAGGTCAGTGGATCCTTCCATAAGACTGTAGCATAATTGTCCTTTGTAGCGGGGTGCCAAAAGCGATCCACCGCTGGCTTTCCATTAGTGTCCAAACTTAGAAAGTTCAGAATAAAAAAAAATAGATGAGAATGTTTTTGGGAGCCCTTAAGAGGGTATATCTCCCCCTTTTTTAACTTTTCAAACATGTGCTTAAGTGATGGGCTCTTTCAACAATTCCTTGACCCTGTGGGTTGTTTGGAATACCTGTAACGTGTTCGATTTGGAATCGAGAGCAGGATAATTGAAAATTTTTTGCAATATAACCAGGTCCATTATCCATTTTGATAATCTTAGGTTTTCCTAAGGCTGATAGGCAAGCAGGAGTATGCGCAATGACATGCTTTCCTGCTTCTCCTGATTGGAAATTTTGTTGTTGTTATGTGCCGTCAAGTCGTTTGCGACTCATAGCAACCCTACGTACAACATCCCTAAACCCTGTTCTATCCTGTGACAATCACATTGCCTCTGACACACCCATCCCTATCACCCCAGTCACTGAATCAGTCCACCTCATAGAGGGTCTTCCCCTCCTGCGCTGTCCCTCTACTCTACCCAGCATGATGTCCCTCTCCAAAGACCTGTCTCTCCTTGCAACATGTCC